GTTCAACCAATTAATTCAGAACTGCGCCGAAAAGGTTTTAATGAACAAATTGTTAGTAGCGGAATTATCACTACAAAGGTGTCTAGATGTATAGGCTTATCAAAGAAGAGCGTGTCAAGCTTTCTAAGCATATTCAATTACCAGCTCAGACGTTGCAATGAATACACACCCTTGCAGAAAGTCAGTAACACAGTAAATCATCAACAGATCTGTTGTACAAAGCAATATCACATAATTTCTAAATAAAACAGGAACTAACCAGGCTAATACTTTGAGTAGACTTCAATGTAGGTCAGGAAAGTTACCTTATCTATGAAATACACAAATAATTTTTGGAAGGAGAAATTGTGATGAAGGACATCAATGCTGAACAAGGACAAGAGTTACGAAAAGCTATTGGAGAACTTTTGAGAATGAAATTAAAAGGATTATTACTTGAGCAAAAGAATTAGTTAATGAATCTGAAATAGTTTTTTTGAACAACGTACCAGAAGAATACTGAGATTCTAGCAAATTGTTTGAATGTCTTCTAAGCATCTTCTATGATGGCATTATGGGAATGAACTACTGCAAACTACATGCCTTGTCTAGCCTTGAATTACACTCACAATATCTAGTAAACGCCTAAGATCTTTCGTCAGCAGCATCACTCGACATATATCGGGTGCAAATTTATTAATTCTCAAAAGTACACCATAGGTTGTTGGTTTGGTTGTCTATATATAGACGTATTTATGTGTATTACAATTCATCATTTGCAACATGATCGACTATTATCTATATACTGAGCCTGTGTAACTCTAACTTTTCTGGAGAAAATGTATTTTTGCATAAGGAAATATACCCTAGGATTTCCATTTGTCTACAGAGAATTTGAAAAGAACCAATAATGGCCCTGCTACCCTATATCGTAAGTATGAATAACTTGCTATAAATTATCGCAATAATGGAATAAGTTACAGTTCGAACTTCCACTTCATATTTGCTTGATTTTGCACTTAATATCTGTTAGTAATATGTATCTAATACATTTAGAGTAAATTCCACCTACAGTAAATTCAAAAATAAAAAACAATTCATTCACATATCCCAAAATATTATCATTATTTACGTTACATTTTAACTCAGATGCGAAAGTTATAGAGTACATTACAAATGTAAGAAATAATTTGTAGTTTGAATTTTTTCATTCAAGATTATAGAATTTTAATATGATCAAGCTGGGGGGTCAACCATTTCCGAATTTTTTTGTTTAAGATACTTATTTAGAAAGAGTCAGAAAGCTTAAGATTTATGTCCGGCTCATGAAACTACATTGGAATAAGACTTGGATTGATCAAAACAAATTTCTTCATTCACTGAAAATTTAAGTGATTTCCTAGCGATTCTTCGTATTTCAGATATTTTTCTCAACTCGATTACGAGTTTCATCCGATCCAAATAATATTTTTCTCATTAATCGGCTTTTCCACGATTTTTCGGGATTTTCAAATTTTAGCTATTTACTCAAATCCTGTAGGTGCTGGAGTAATACTGACGATTAAAACACATATAGACAGTCTAATGGGGTCTGCGGGTCAACTCACTTTTTTATTTTGTGTGTCCGTGTAATTAATATATTTCCCTTTAGCAGCGAAAGGAAACACGATATTTCTATTACTCTTTTCAGCCTCGCAAGTATCATTTACTCCACTAAGTTCCAAGAACTAATAATAAAGTTACATTGTGGCACAAACTAAGTAAAAATGTTTCAAAGTTCAGACACACTTTAGTAACACCGTCATAAAGCAAAATGGAATTGGAGGTAAATATTTTCATCTACGACATCACGTTCACCACATTCTAAGATTAAGTTATTACTACTCGTAACTTGTTCCATAAAATTATATCTTGCTTCTGTTATTATGTACATTTGTTGAATTTTAATAACACTGCGGAACAACTGGCAAGTCTAGAGGCTTGAGACTTCCACATTACTTCCCATTAACCGTTGTGAAGGGAATCACTGTAATGTTTATCACTGTAATGTTTAAAATTAATTAAAAGCAGTAGGAAATCATTGCATACGGGTATATTTTAAACGAGTTTAATCAGTCCTGTTTAATAGTAATAACTGCTTTTTATTGATTAATAGATTGTTCAATAAATTGAACAATCGTCTTCAATTAATGCGTAGTATATTTGAAGATCACATTAATTTTTGTCTCAGTTTTTAATATACATTTAAGCATTATGGTACCGATAAAATGAAATGCACTAACAGCTACTTATATTTAATATCTTTCTTACCAAATTATGGTACGAGTTCTATTAGCTGGGTACATGTTTTAGTAAGAAAACTGAGGTTTCTCAGATGACTTTGATAGCAAACATTGGCCAGCTGATGATGAAATAAGAAACTGCAAGTATACCTAGGAGATACTTCCTACTAATTATGACATTTTAATGGCTAACTAACTGCTGCTCCTCCTACACGTTAATCTAATTTAAGATAATGTAAGGTAATGTAATTGAATAAAATAGGATCTTTAGATTTTACTCTAAGGGATACCTAAGTATATTCAGTGGATCGCATTTACCAGGTTTTGAAACAAAATCTTCTAGTTACTTGAAATTAGAATTAACCAGTACATAATAGGGAATGTGTAATTAAAATACTATACGTATGAAAATCAAATTCCTCTTGACAAAGACAAGTAAAGATAGTAAAAGTTAAGAAATATCTTTCATTTTGATCATAAAAAGTTCATGTTCATTATATCTCTTATATTTCAACAACTTGGGCTGCTCATATAACCCTTAAAGAACTATCATGTACAAAGAGTACAAGCATTCGTACCTAATGACTTCCTTCCTACTTAAACGAAGTTTGAGTATATTTTCCAAAGCCAAATTCGTTTTTAATACTTTATTAACATATGCATATTGTAGTCAGTTTGTAATACATTTGTAGTGATTGATGTGATGTTTTTCGAGAGTACATTTAAAAGCCGTTATTTCCAAGATTTCTTTTGAAAATGGCGCATTTATTTAGCAATCGCGAGTATTATGATATGCTCATAATTTATGGCGAAGCAAACGAAAATACCCACAGCGATTGTCAAATATACTATGTGCAAGATATCAGGAATGACGTGACCTCGCACCGAGTACATTTGTTGTGGTAGTTCAAAGAGTTTTGAACACCGGTGAAATACAACCACGTCGAGTCGCGACGGTCGGGCGACCACTAAGAAACTTAAATGTCGAGATGATTTTAGATCTCGTCGAAGAAGATCCGCATCGTAATACCAGAAATATCGCACAGCAAGTAAATATTTCGCATACTGTTGTGTGGCGGACATTAGAAGAAGCTTAGTTGTATCCATTTCATATTCAATGTGTTCAAGCGCTTACTCCTGAGGATTTTCCACTACATCGAGGTTTTTGCGAATTGTTGCTTCAGGAACATGCAAGAAATCCTCAATTTACAGCGCATATACTTGTAACAGATGAAGCATGTTTCAGTCGAAATGGTGTACGTAACGTCCACAACACTCACCACTGGACTATACACGAAATACGTCGCGGTGCCTCAGCAACAGTTTTCAGTGAACATGTGGGTATCGTTAATGACACACAAAATCGCTCGCCGGAGTTATTGGAAGACGTGTCATTGAATGTTCGGCAAAATATGTGGTTACTGCATGACGGAGCCCCCGCTCACTTTTTTCGGAGAGTGCGCGACTTTCTAAACATTACTTTTCCCGACCGCTGGATAGGCCGCGGCAGCCTAGTTAGATGGCACCCCGGTCCCCGGACCTAACCCCTTTAGACTTCTTTTGTGGGTATACGTGAAAAGTGTTGCGTATTCCACGGAAGTTCGTGACATCGACCAACTGCGACATCGTATAGCCGAAGCTAGAAGAATACGATTCGAGAGCGACGTGGCAATGCTGCAACTCGTGCGAGCGAATTGGATACGTCGCGCTGAAGCTTGTGTGCAAGCAAATGGTGGGTACAGCGAACATTTTCTATGAAAATCAACAGTTCTCAAAAGGTGGCTCCTTGCAAAGTTGAGGTAAATCAGATTTTAAAATTACATTTTACTTAATACAAATTCGTGTATTTACCTCATTTTGACATAACGGACATGTGGCAAAAATTGAGTTGGGAGTTCAATAATACCCTGTATGGAACAAACGTCTAAGCGAAACGTATTATACATTACCTCTTATAATGCAAAAATCGATATCTAATAAGTAGAATCACTGGAAAGAGAATTGGAAAGCTCGAGCTAGCTAAAAATGCGGCCTGTTTGTCAATATAAGCGTGTACGTTGTAAATATATTTATAGTTTGATTAACGCAGGAAAATGCGAAGGCAAACAAAGCCGACGTCACAAGAAACAATAAAGAGTGGATGGAAACAAAAGGCTTATAAAAGCCTGCTTTCAAACACGATTCGTGGGGTTTTAACACTTTCGCTTAACTTTTTAATCACACAAAACTGACACGTTAATGTTCGTATCGCAATATTCAGGATACTATCCTGACATTAGAACAATGAATTGGAATGGAGGCAGAGCCTTGTCTTCGGTAATTTTAGTAGGTACATTAATATACAACAGTATATACGATGTGTATCATTAAGAACAAGATTTTTTTTTAGGAATTTTATGAAAAAAATATTTTAATTTACATTTTGTTGCATTAAATCCTTACTATTGAATATTTACAACTAAATATTTTTTTATTTCCCTTGACTGTAAACTTTAATCCTTAAAGAATAAGATCAGTTCCTTAGTCACTTAGGGTATTTTTGAATTGAAGTTGTAATGTTTTAAAAAATTCTAAATTTGCGCCAAAAGTTGTCCCCCTCAGAAGCAAACTTTACCTGTTTTTGGATTTTGCCGAAAAGTTCATTACTACCCTGTAATGCCTTGCGGTACGTTTTCGATGGGCTACCCTGTATATGAATAGAAACAAAAAATATATAATTTGGATACAAATAGTACTTACATAAAACGTTAAAAAGGTCCTTCACATCCTTCTTGTTCACAAAATTCGAATTGATTGTGCTGCACCTTTGTGGGTTCTGGAATGAAAATAAATATAATTATCATCTTGTGTTTTGAAATTTCGAAAAAGAATTTGTGAAATATCATGATTTGGCAAACAAGTTTAACAAAAAAATTATTTTCGCATATCTAAGCTTGCAGAAAAACATCCTGCATTTAATTAAAAGATTAACTATTCATGATTGTCATGGAATTGCTCCTAAATTCCAAATACGTAAGCAAAACAGTAGAGATAAAGAATATTACCAAGTAGTTGAGATGTGGGAGGTCAGCAATTGACCACAATTACTCATAACGTATAATGACTAATTTAGTGACTGGGATAAGGTCGTAGCTTTAAGTAGTACACTTTGTGGAATAGTAGATAAAATACGGAAATATCTGAATGATGAAACTAGCAGAACAAGTCATTCATTCTTTGTAGAGTACTATTGGGTATTGATAGGCGTGTCCCAATCTTTGCGTGCGTTTAAGGTTAAAATTATATTAAACAACAACACATTAGTTTATTAAAGCATGATTGCATTCATGACTGTCTGTACAGGGTGTCCCACCAGGAATCGCCACTATCGATGTCTCGGAAAGTACTGATCCGATAAATCTGAAAATTTGGCAACCTAGCAAAGGCAGTAGGGCCAACACAGCTAAAATATTTAGAACTTTATGGCACGGAAGCCGACATTAACTTATTTTAAATGGAACACCCTATATGTATATTACTGCTGCATTTTCGGATTCTACGTGAAATTTGAGGGTCACTTTATTAAATATTCCCTATACCTAGGAGTTATAGATTTTGAGATATCAATTTTTAAAGAAAAAATTTTACACATGCAAGGGTCCGCGGAGATATGTACTTCAAACAGCTATAATTTTGTTAACTTAAATGTATTTTTTTACTCTGTCGTATGTAGATTGAAATTTCCTTTCAAGCCATATAAGCATTGTTAGGGTTGTCGTTATTACTTTTAGAGATATTTGCAATTTTCTATTTTTTGGACAGTTTTTTTTCGTATCAGATTTGTTATCAAATTGGCCAAGACCAGAAGCATTCCAAAAACAATTAAAATAACTTTTGACATTTGTCAAGTTAGTTGTCAAATTATTGTTATTTCGAAAATTTCAAATGCCTGGGGATCGTTTAAATTATACTAATGAGGATTATTTTAATTTGTTTGTTATTTATGGACAATGTGACAAAGTAATTTCAAGAACATGTAGAGATTTTGCAAATTTTCAGTAAACTGGAACTGAAAGCTGTAGAAACTAAATTCTTGAAAAAACATTTAAAGGAACAACAGATTTGGAAGATTTTTACAGAGAGACAAACCTCTGGTTGAAATTTTTGCACTAATATACTCATTTTCATAATTAATAATAATATTCACATTAGTATTACTAAAATATTGCTGAAGCTCAAATGCATATTTAAACAAAAAATGTTAGCGCCCAACGTGGTGTCATCACAGCAAGAAAATAATTAGTTTTACTAAAAAAACAATTATTAAATATAAACACCTATACGCTTTCATTGTGAGGCTGGGTTTACATTTTCATTGTTAGTGATATATTTTACATGTGATACCGACGCATATGAAATGTACACCATGAAAGCAGAACTTCCTAACCGCATAACAAACTCAAACTGCAGCGTATCACTTTTCCGTCAAGATCATTAAAATGCACCCCATCGTTCTATATTTGTTGAGGGACCGCCACGAAACGAAAAAGAACAGAAAGTAACGCCTCTGTTTCAGAAATTATTACCGCGCTGAATAAATCATATATCATTTAGGGAAAAACGTGGGGTGGACCTATTTAAAGCCGATTAAAACGTTTTCTGGGTATTAACCGATTCCGGCGGTCTAAAAATAGGGAGTTTTTATTTCCAGTACGAGTGGCTTTCACATCTAAACAAACTTTTCTGGCTTAAATTTTCCACGCTGGTATTATTTATTTGTTTATGTCTTCCCGGTAAACGATGGGCTCTGCTAAATGCGCGGGTTTAGTGAACTCCAGTTTTTATTTTTACAAGCTTCTGTACAACAAACACCAAATAAGGTTGCTTTCTATTTATACACTATAATTGTAAAGGGAAAAAACGCGTACAATTTGCTACGCCGAACATATAATTAACAGTTCTTTTTACGACAAAATGAAAATGGAAACTTAAATATCACTGAATTTTTAATAGAAAACTTCATTTTGGAATATGCACTAGTTTCCATGATCAATTAAGCAATGTTGTCGGTGTATATGAAATAGAAAGGAATTTAAAATCTCCTTTTGCCCTTACCATTCATTTTCATCAATTAATTATTTCTGCCTATACAGGGTGTTAGAAGATTGACTGCCTTAATTTTAACAGACGATGGAAGACATTAAAATAAACAAAAAAATCTTATATGACATGGGTTCTAAACTCAACCATTTCCAAGAAAAATATTATCAAAATATCCAACTTGATATACAAAAGTTCGATTAATTAAGGAATATTGACATAACTGCGTCCATAGAATACCAAAAAACTCAATGTTTATCACATTTTTGAACTTCTTTATGCTTAATTCTAATAAATAATAAGCGATGCAATAAAATTAAAATTCGATAGAATTCATATCGAGCAATGTGACAACGGCGCGTCGGTTTATTAACACGAGGTATTAAAATGTCCAGCAACCACTAATACGCAATCCAGTTGGTATCTGGATTCGACCGTGTCGGAGTGTTTTTGCGTACCACTATTTCCTTTTCTTGAGGTGTTTTCCAGAGAGTGCGCGAAGATTGGATCCAAAGGTGTCCCGCGTGCATCAAAAATGGTGGTGGACATTTTGAGCATATGTTGTAGATTGTTTTGTACTTGTGCGTTTAAAAATTGCTGAATTTTTCTTTTTGGTAAGTACTTAAATTGTTTTTAATACGCATGATTATTTGGACGACGTGAATCATTGGCTACTTTAATTACATATTTTTCAAATTCGTAATTTGATTAAAAGGTAAATTCCTGTTTAAGAGATTCATAATGACTAAAATTCGAGCTAAAATTTAAGCACAACACTATCTTAGTACTACAAAATCGATACACTTTATTTTATTTATTTAAAAACTGGAAAACTGAAATTTATTAAATGTTTCACAATAATAGTTGCTTACATTTTTTCCGTAGGACAAGTCTGCCGCCTGTACACGTGATGTGCACCAGCAGGTTAAGCGTGGTTGTCACGTTGTGATGAAACTCTCCACTATTGATACTCGCTGTATTTTGAAAACTGTTAATCTTACGCCTTCGTAATACACAACTTTTTTGTTCATTTATGATTTCATGCTGAAGCAATGGCAGCCAAACTTCTTACACCCTGTATACTAACCTTTTACTGAGATATATGACTTATCTTTAAAATTTCTTAAGCGTATATGTTCAATTAACCACATTTAAAACAAATGTAACCAAAAATGTTAGAAGTTCTTAGTTTTTGCTGTACCTATTTACTTATTTATGTTTATTTGGAATATGTCTTGCACAAAAAATATGCTTTTAACATATCTACCACTTGACTACACCGTAGTTCGAAAAAAATATTAATTTAACTCAAAAACATTTAAAAGAAAAACACCATCCTCTAAAGTAACAAATCGTTACATACATCAACTCGACAACTTAACGTTGAAACATACAATTGTGCATTACGCCTTATAAAAGATTATTATTATACACTGCACAAGATCTGGTCAATAGAGGAATTAAAAAAAATCATATCCATAATTACCTACTCCTAAGTTTGAATAATAACCTCTGGAGTTATTTACATCCCCAATTACACCCGCAGTTAAAATATATGTACACATTTAATGTTGTGTTCACATTTTAACACATGGTGGAGTCTACGTATAGTCGGAAGCAAATAGATACTTTTCGAAAGTATTCCAATTGTTAAGTTTGAAAACATCGCTATAATTCATGGTAATTTGTTGAGATGGATAATATCGTATGAAAGCAGGAGAAGAATGTCAAAATTAATAATAATTCTTTGATTTCTGTTGATGTTAGTTTTGGTGTTCCACAAGGTTCGCGTCTTGGACCACTTCTTTCTTAATCCATAAAATATACAGTGAATATTTTAATGATATATGATGATAGATTTGTGTTGTTGTGAGTAACTCAAATAAAGAATAATGCATAGGTTTTATTCTTCATATATTATGTTATCCCATATTGTATTTTATTAATTGTGCTATTATTTAAATATAGTTAAATTTAATTTGACAGGTGTCTACATACAGACTTATGTGTAACCCTGCTGCATTTGTAAGAATTCTATTAGGTTTCTTAACAGTACAAATAAAGTAAAATACGTAGTAACTACTTTTCACATTAACTACTGCTGTTTTTGATATGAGAACAGCTTAACAATAACAAAGAATGAGGCTGTTTAATGGTGGATAAATGATGTTTTGATGACCGTTTCGATTAGTAACTTATGCATTTCACATATGTCAGGTATATCTTTCTAGTTCACACAAAAAGTGGGTCAGAGGAAATGTGAGAACAGTCTGACTGAATACGTGGCGATAATAAAATATTTTGATGTCTGACACAAGTTATTCGGAAGAAAATGATCGATGGTTGCAATTTTATTCCAAACGGGTGAAGTGGAATTCAATTCCTCGCAGAAACATAATTCAGCGCTTGCTGCCTAAACACTTATATCCGTATTTTTACAGCATGTGCCACATTATGGCTTAAAACAAAAATTAAGATTTATTGAAAAAGATTCTGTAAATCTTTCGATGCCAAAAAACTAATCAATTTCAGTAACTGAAATCCATTATTAAGTAACCAAGTGAGAACCTATAGATAAAAGATTAAGATATGAACTTGAGATCTCGCATCGTTTTCCACGTAAGGCTCAATTAACACCAGACTAGAAGTATCATATTTTATAAGAAATTGACAAGGTTATAACAATACATTAAGTGTCGGCTATCTCTACTGTATGCCTTGATGTATGGGGCAATA